ATTGAGTCGGTTCCCCAATGTCACCAGGGCTCTGGCTTCTATTCCATTCTCTTCCTGGTTACCAAGAAGTCGGGGGGCTACAGGGCCATTCTGGACTTGAAACGCCTGAATTTTTATATCCGTTACAGACGCTTCAAAATGCAATCCTTGCATACCATTCTCGCCAGCATCCGCCACGGAGATTATTTATCATCCATTGATCTCCGGGAGGCCTACCTCCACGTACCAATTCGACTAGCCCATCGTAAATTTCTTTGATTCTGCTACGACGGAAATCATTTCCAATATAGGGCCTTGCCCTTTGGCCTTTCATCCGCTTCCCGCACCTTCACTAAATTGCTTGACACTGTCGCTGTCTCATTGCGCTCAATTCCGATCCGCTTACTTTATCTAGATGACATTTTAATTCTTTCTTCCTCGCCCCAACAGGCAGAGCTTGATGTCCAGGTGACGATCAGATCCCTACAGGAACACGGCTTTACCGTGAATTGGGAGAAGAGTAATCTCACTCCCTCTACCGTACATCTCGGTGCACGCATCAACACCTTGTCAGGTCTTGTCTTCCTTTCCCCAGAGTGTCTGGTTGCAATTCGGAAGGCAGTCAAACATGTGCAGTCGCTCAGGTCAGTTCCTATTCTGACCCTTTCACAACTATTGGGTCAGATGATTTCCTGCCTTGTCAATCGTCCCTTGGGCAAGGTTGCATTCGCGCCCCACTGCAGTGGCTTCTCCTGCCCAGGCCTTGTCTTCCTTTCCCCAGAGCGTCTAGTCGCAATTCGGAAGGCAGTCAAACGTGCAGTCGCTCAGGTCATTCCTATTCTGACCCTTTCACAACTATTGGGTCAGATGATTTCCTGCCTGTCAATCGTCCCTTGGGCAAGGTTGCATTCACGCCCACTTCAGTGGCTTCTCCTGCCCAGCCAGAAATCCGGCGCCAACACCTCCAACGTATGTATCAAGATTCCTCACAAAGTTCTCTCCTCCCTGTGTTGGTGGACGTCCCCAGCCCTGGAGAAGGGCTGCTATTTCCACGATCCTATGCAACTGGTCCTCACCACGGACATGAGTCTTTTTGGATGGGGAGCACACTTCCAGTCCCACGTGTCCCAGGGTCGATGGTCCCCAAGGGACTTATTAAACCACATCATTTGGCTGGAATTACGCGCAGCCCATCTAGCGCTCCGTCATTTTCAACATCTTCTATCAGGCCATCACATCCTTCTGCAGATGGACGTGACCGCGAAGGCCCATGTGAACAGGCAAGGGGGCACTCTCTCCAGGGCCCTGATGCGCAAAGCTGCGGCGTTAGGTCTTTGGGTGGAGAGGCATCTGCTCTCTCTTCAGGCAGAGCACATCTCCGGCATCTCCAATACCTGAGCGGATTGGCTCAGCCGGACGCCCATCAATCAAGCAGAGTGGCAGCTGCACCCCGACATTTTCCGGCATATCACCACCCTGTTCGATCATCCGCAGGTAGATCTCTTTGCCACTCCAACCAATGCATAGGTCCCACGCTTCTTCACAAGGTTTTGGACACCACTGGCTGAGGGAACCAACGCACCCAGATGTCGCTGGCCTCCGACCCTGCTGTACGCCTTTCCACCGATTCCATTGCTTCCAGGAGTTCTATGGAAAATCCTGATGGAGGGAGCGGACGTTATCCTCATCACTCCATACTGGCCCCGCCGCAGCTGGTTTGCAGATCTCAAGGGTCTCTCCAAGACTCCGCCTTGGAGGATTCCCGCCAATCGGATTTCCCTGCGGCAAGGGGTCGTTTATCACCCGGACCCTCAGTGGCTCCAGCTAGCCGCCTGGAACTTGAGAGGGAGATCCTGAGGCAGGATCGTTTTCCCACAGAGGTTATTACCACCATTCTCGCATCTCGTCGCCAGTCTACGACTCGCATATATGAGGCAACTTGGGCCGCATTCTGGTGCTGGTGCTCCAAGAATGGTTCTATTCCAACTGTAGCAACCATTCCACAGGTATTGGGATTCCTCCAAGAAGGGTTGAATTCCGGTCTGGCCGTCAATACACTGTCGCCAGGTCGCCGCCCTAGTCACCGTTGTCAGCTGCAAAGAGGCTCCATCTCTCTCTACACATCCTCGTGTCCAGTCCTTCCAAAGAGGTGTGGCCAATCTCCATCCGCCTATTGTCCACCAGTATCCCTCCTGGGACCTCTGTATCGTTCTTCGAGCCCTGACAGAGCCTCCCTTTGAGCCTCTTGCATCTGTCTCTCTCAAGTTCTTGACATTCAAAGTTTCCTTTCTAGTTGCAATCATTTCAGCACGTCGTGTTTCTGAGCTGGCTTTCCATTTGCAATGACTTGTGTTTTCCACTCCGACCGTGTCATCCTGAGATTGGGTCCCACTTTCCTTCCCAAAATCAATACCTGGTTTCACAGGGCCCAGGAGATCATTTTACCTGATTTTTGCCTCAACCCCAGGCACCCCACCAAAAAGCGATGGCACACCCTGGATGTCCGCAGGGCCCTGCGCAAGTATATAGACAGATCTGCTTCATTCCGGAAGTTGGAGTTGTTATTCATATCTTTTCAGCCCGCTTCGATGGGTTGCAGAGTGACATCTTCAACCATCGCCCGTTGGATCAAGGCTTGCCTCGCCATGGCCTACAATCAACAACACTTTTCTCATCCATGTTGCATTACTGCCCACTCGACGCAGAGTGCGGCTACCTCAGTTGCCTGGACTACCCAAGCCTCTCTGCTCGAGATCTGCAGGGCGGCCACTTGATTGACTCCCACTCCGTTCATACACAACTATAAGTTGGACAGGTTTGCGTCGGCCGAGGCAGCCTTTGGATGCAGAGTGCTCCAACAGGTTCTTGCCTCTGACTCGGCTCATCATTCTTCTTAGTCCCACCCTAGGGGTATTTTGCTTGGGTATATCCCATTCAATGGACTCTCTGAGCAGCACAAGGGAGAAGGAACATTGGTCTTACCGTGAAGGTTCTTTCTCCTTGTGCTGCGGGAGAGTCCATACCCTCCCTTTCTTTCTACTGGTTTCCAGACTCAAGTACTTGTTTACCTTTGTTTGAGTTTCAGTGTTATTATGTTCCGGATCTTCGTTAACGAACTGGAGACAAACCTGAAGGGGAGGTGTCTTTATGCAAATCTTAATTCAGTCTTTGGCCAATGACATGAGGACAACACATTCAATGGACTCTCCCGCAGCACAAGGAGAAAGAACCTTCACGGTAAGACCAATGTTCCTTCATGGCTATCACACATTCAAAAAAAATCAAAGTTTAACTATTTCCTATTGTTAAAAGTTCAGTTTAACACACTACAGCTCCATCGACTTTCAGATTTTGTTGAAAACCAGGACTACAATCTTTTTTCTTCTTTTGGTCAATGTGCCAAAAAAGTGCTATATTGCAAAAAGGCTTTAATCATGCAGAGTTCACAACTGGCTCAGAAAATATTGCACCCGTGAAGTGTGGCAAAGTATTTTGGCAGCAACATATAGTCAATTCTGAAAATATCACATCTGTGAAGAAGATATTCACACGGGGGTGGAGGAGAAAACACACACCTTCATTCTTGCAAGGACAAGGGACAGCAGCAGCTAAAGAAGGAAGTGTTACAGGAGAATGAAGTTGGCATCTTCGTCACAATTAAATACTCAATTATAAATAAGATCAGTTTTTCCCAACCTCAGCCAGGGAATTCTGGGAGTTGAAGTCCACACATCTTCAAGAAGCTAAAGTTGAGAAACACTACTTTAAGTAGAGAAAGTTTCAGTTTAGAACAAGAAAGAGGACCAGGATTTTCAGCCAACAGAGGAATTTAAGAAATTATAATGCTAATACATCTGGACAATATCAGAATAATGAAGGCAAGCCTACAGTTTCAGCAGTAGCTCCACTTTGGGAGTTTGGCCAAACAAGAGCGTAAGACTGCCGAGTGGACTTCCGAATATGGTGACAGAGTATTATTTGAGATAAGTGAGTGGAATACATCAGTGCAGATGGCTTGTTAGAATATTTTCCCCGAATCCAGATATAAATGAAGCAGATGGGAATGATTGTGGGGCGTCTGTGAAAGGAACAGAGTAATGAGTCAGTTGTTATCTTAAGAAATAATTCAGCCCAGTTAGGGAGAAATTGGGGAAAAGGCAGCAACTCAAATTATTCAAAGGGAATCTGTCTTAATTAATTCACTATAATTGAGGGATTCCTCTAAGGGTTTCCAAGATTCTGTATTTAACTCCTATCTATCTATCTATCTATCTATCTATCTATCTATCTATCTATCTATCTATCGTATCTATCTATCTATCTATCTATCTATCTATCTATCTATCTATCTATCTACCGATAGTATCTCTCTCTCTCTCCTTCCTTCCTTCCCTCCTTTTTATAAATAACTCAAAGTGGTGCACACACATAATACTCTTTGTTCCTCTTGTTTTCTCCATAACCATGTGAGGTGGATTAAGCTGATGTGACTGGCTCAAAACCTCCCAGTTGGCTTTCATGCCTAAGGTGGGATTGAATTCCTGGTCTCCTGATTTTAATCTGATGCCTTAACCATTAGACCAAACTGGCTCTCTTATTAAAGATTCCTTTAATTGGTGTGGTTCTTGCTTGCTTGCTTGTGCCCAGTTGAGTAGGCATGACAGCACACAAGGAAAAAATGTCTAGCTTTGGCCATTCTTCCTTGGCTGATTTTCTAGCCATAACAGGATCTTTAGAAAGGAACACATTCAAAAGACAGCATTTTTGGAGTCCATTGGAATAGTTTTCCTACAGGAATCACTTCAAAATTCTCAGAACAGAACAAACTTTCATTAACATTAAGATGGTGAGTACAAATCATAGCCACAGACTGCAGTTGAGCTGACTGTAGGATCAAAGCAGGGAGAGTACACGGATTAAGTGTAACAAAAGGAGGCAAAATTAAATGGGAAAGAGTGACAGCTGTTGTGGGTGGAAAGGAAGCTGAAAACAAACCGTAGGAGGAAAAATGGAGACAAATCCTGAATCCAACATGTTTTACTGTGTGTTTCTAGGTTCAAAGCCTGTGTCTCTTAGAGATGAAACTTCCCTAACTCCAGCATCATTCTTTGGAGAAGGAGGTAATTCCTATTTCTCCAGTCTGCCGTTCTTCACCCAGAAGTTTCTCATACAGGGCTGGGACATATGTCCATAATGTACATTCCCAAAGGTCAATCCTCTAGACAGTCTGTTCAGAGCTCATAGCAACAGCAATGGGTGTTGGACAGGCATCAGGACAGTAAGGATCTAGAAGAGGGAGAAAATAGAGGGTCATTGGGTATTTAATGTCCTTCCTGATGCTGAATCTGTTGAAACAGGTAATCTATCAAGAGCCCAAGGAACAAGACCACAAACAAGGAGCAGACCCACAGTGACACTTCTTTTTTTTTGATGGGGGAGGAAGAATCAAGAGCCATAACAAGGGGTGTGAGGATGAACCCATCTATTATGTGAAGCTTGTTTCATGGCTTACACAACAGGCTTCATGTGTTCCACTTCACAATGACAGGAAGGGATTCTAACAGCCATCAAAAGATGTTTCTGGGTTGCTGGCAGCTTAGAGACTTCGAGTTACCCATCTCTGCCAAGGTTAGAGCACAGAATGTGGGATGCCTGGCTGGCTATTTTTATGGTTAGAACCAGGGAACTCCATCTTCTGGGAATACAGAAGAATCTGACAAGGCTTCGGAAATCAATTGAAGGCGCAGCACTGCAGGCAGGAAGGAAGGTGTAAGCATGGGACCAGAGACTCTAAAATCATCTCCCAAAACAGAATGAAAAGCATTGTTGGGCAGAGGTAAAAAAAGAGGCACCTGAAAGGAAAATGTCAATGTATTTAAATTTATAACTCGAGCAGTGGGGGTTGAGTAATGAGTCAAAACCCAGTTAGAGCCGATTGATTGAGGAGAGCTGGATACTGCATGAGGCGATCTGAGCTGTGATTAGTTGACTTGAGTGAAAAGGGGGCGTTTCCTTACTTGCCGCCTTTTTTGCCTTGTGTGCCCTGTATGCTCTCTGTGATTTACCTCATGAAATTCCTGTGTTGATTTACCTGACTCTGCTCCTGTTTTGCCTCCCTTATATATATATATATACACAGGATATATTCCCTGATAGAAAAACTCCCTTGAAATAGGCATCCCTACTGAGATGCCATTTCTAAATAAACCTGCATCCTTGAGGAGATACAGAAAAAAAAAAACTGATGGAGGGTTATAGCTTCCAGGATGAAGCTTGCCAACTGGAAGTAATCCAGTCCTGGAAACAATGACAGATAAATGTATTGGATTCATATTGGGTTTTTTTATTTTTATTTTTTGTGCCCTTTGGCAACTGAAACTTTTGCTGCTTACATCGCTGATTCTGCACATTTTAATCTAAACCTCCAATTCCTAACGGTCTCATAAACAAGGAAGTCCATTGTGGTGATGTTAAAAAGTCAAGATGGTGGTAGCTGCGTGATGGAAAACCTGTCCATTTTACATGCATTGAGGCATTTGATGTGTAAAAATGGGGTGTGGCTTCAATTACACAACTGTAACTAATATTCTGACCCGCCCACCAATCTCTGGCAGATGTGCCCGTTGATAAAAGAAAGATTAGTTTATTTACAGTATATTATCCATCTGATTCTTCATCAAGGACAGGTGAGCTTGCAAGAAAGTTTGTGGCTCAATTAAAGCAATCAAACTAAAAAAATGATATATTGAATATATATATTCTATAACAAGAATTTACATGCAACAGCCCTCGCTACAGAAGAGCTGGGCAACTTTTCCGCCCCACAGACTATCTCTGGAAATAGGGTCAAATTGATCTTATACAGGTCATCCTTGACTTACAACCATTTGTTTAGTGACCATTTGAAGTTACAACGGCACTGAAAAAAAATGATTGACCATTTTTCACACTTAATGACTGTTGCAGCATCCCCTGTGGCCCCATGATCAAAATTTGGACACTTGGCAACTGGCATATATTTATGACAGTTGTAGTGTCCCTGGGTCATGTGATCAAATTTTGCAACTTTCAGACAAGCAAACCCCATGGGGAAGCCAGATTCATTTAACAGTGTTATTAACTTAACAACTGCAGTGATTCACTTAACAACTATGTCAAGAAAGGTCAATAAATTGACCATAAATAAATTGGGGCAAAAATCACTTAATAACTGTTTTGTTTAGCAACAGAAATTTTGAGCAACAGGTACAGGTAGTCCTCAACTTACGACCACAATTGAGCCCAATATCTCTGTTCTTAAACGTGACAGTTAAGTGAATTGTGCCCCATATTATGACCTTTCTTGACCTGTACATCAGGATCTTTAAGAGGGAAAGGGTCCTTTGATCACTCTTTCTCCAAATCTCTCCTTTGCTAGTAATGATGGCTTGTTAATTCTTCATCTTCATGAGTATCAGCTGAGTAATGGGGAAAAGTAGGTGTTGCTCCTACAACGTATCTCCATGAAGGGCAAAGAAGGCCAAATGCCAATGTCTGTGTGATATAATTATGCAACTGCTACAGTTCAAGACATCCAACATTAGTATTTAAATCATGGCATATTCATGGTGATGTCATCATGTATATATTGTCATTTTGGCACCATGGTGATTTGTTATGGAATCTACTCAGCTTCTGCCAGACAAGCTGGCTACAAACAACAGTTACAGATCCAAGTGACTCAATCAAGGGCAAAAGACTGAGTGCTAAGACGGAAAATAAAAAGGAGTTCTGAGAGTATAAATCTATATTAAATGATCTTGCATGCATACTCACTCATGAGAGCTTAGATGTGATTTTCTTAATTAGTATAAGCAGCAAATGAAACATAAATGAACTTCAGAGATTGGATGTGTACAGTTGCAAGAAAAAGTATGTGAACCCCTTGGGATTATATGGAGTTTTGCATGAATTGGTCATAAACTGTGCTCTGAACTTCATCTAAGTCACAACAATAGAAAAACACAGTCTGCTTAAAATAATACTACACAAACATTAGATGTTGCCATGGTTTAATTAACATAAATGTAAACATTCACAGTGCAGGGAGGAAAAAGTATGTGAGCCCCTAGCCTAATGACTTCTCCAAGAGCTAATTGGAGCCAGGAATGAGCCAACCTTGACTCCAATCAGTGTGATTATATTGGATGTGTTCCTGACAGCTGTCCTGCCCTTTAAAAACACACACCTGTTTTGGGTTTACTGGTTTCAAGAAGCACTGTCTGATGTGAACCATGCCTCGCAGAAAAGAACTCTCAGAAGACCTACGATCAAGAATTGCTGACTTACATGAAGCTGGAAAGGGTTATAAAAGTATCTCCAAAAGCCTTGATGTTCATGTGTCCATGGTAAGACAGACTGTCTACAAATGGAGAAAGTTTAGCACTGTTGCTACTTTCTCTAGGCGTGGTCGTCCTGTAAAAATGACTGCAAGAGCACAGCGCAGAATGCTTCATGAGGTAAAGAAGAATCCTAAAGTGTCAGCTAAAGACCTACAGAAATCTCTGGCACATGCTAACATTTTTGTTGACACATCTACAATAAAGAAAACATTAAACAAGAATGGAGTACATGGGAGGACACCACGGAGGAAGCCATTGCTGTCCAAAAAAAAATACTGCAGCATGTTTGAAGTTTGCAAAAGAGCACCTGGATGTTCCACAGCACTACTGGCAAAATATACTGTGGACAGATGAAACCAAAATTGAGTTGTTTGGGAAGAACACACAACACTATGTGTGAAGAAAAAAAGGCACAGCACACCAACATCAAAACTTCATCCCCACTGTAAAACATGGCGGAGGGAGCATCATGGTTTGGGGCTGCTTTGCTGTCTCAGGGCCTGGCTTGTTGTCATTGATGGGAAAATGAATTCCAGAGTTTATCAAGACATTTTGCAGGAAAACGTACGACCATCTGTCCGCCAACTGAAGCTCCGCAGAGGATGGGTGATGCAACAGGACAATGACCCAAAGCATACAAGTAATTCAACAAAAAAATGGCTTCAACAGCACAGAATACCCCTTCTGGAGTGGCCCAGTCAGGGTCCTGACCTCAACCCGATTGAAATGCTGTGGCATGACCTTAAGAGAGCGATTCACACCAGACATCCCAAGAATATTGCTACACTGAAATAGTTTTGTGAAGAGGAGTGGTCCAAAATTACTCCAGATCGTTGTGCAGGTCTGATCTACAACTACAGGAAATGTTTGGTTGAGGTTATTGCTGCCAAAGGAGGGTCAACCAGTTATTAAGTCCAAAGGTTCACATACTTTTTCCTCCCTGCACTGTGAATGTTTACATGTTATGTTCAATTAAACCATGGCAACATCTAATGTTTGTGTAGTATCATTTTAAGCAGACTGTGTTTTTCTATTGTTGTGACTTAGATGAAGTTCAGAGCACATTTTATGACCAATTCATGCAAAACTCCACGTAATCCCAAGGGGTTCACATACTTTTTCTTGCAACTGTATATTAGGCAAATCTGTAGCTGGCTAAACTGTGATTCAGTGTATCACAGAAAAAGAACCACTAAAGTTACAACATTCCTTTAGCCAGGTAATCAGATAAAAAGTTCTATAATTTTCAAGCAAATTCAATCAATTTGATCATCTAGGCCCATGATAGAGAACCTATGGCATGCATGCCACAGATGGCATGCGGAGCCATTTCTGCCTGCACGTCTCCCGCCAGCCAGCTGATTTTCAGGTCTTTGCTGCACATGCAGGAGACACGCATACACGCCTATGCCGTCCCTCCCAGGAGTCTCCACATGGCCCATTTTGGATGCCAGGTAAGTACAGGGCTCACGCGGAGGCTCTGGGAGGACGAAAAATGGGCCTACCAGAAGTGCAGAAACATGCTGTTTCTGGCCTCCGGAGGCTTTAGGGAGGCCTGCTAGGCCTAAAATGGGACATAGGGGGGCGCGCACACATGCGTGAGGGGGGAGTAGGGGAGCACAGGGGTCATACGCGCATGCGCAGGGGAGCACGGGGGATTGCGCATACATGCACGGGACATGCATGGGGGGCATTGCATTATGGATGTGGGCGCATTTTTGGCACCCGAGGGAAAAAAGTTTAGCCATCACTGATCTAGGCCAATGTTTCTCACTCTTGGCAACTGGAAGATATGCAAACTTCAACCCCCAGAATTGTCAGGCTGTTATAATGACTGAAGAATAATGGGACTTGAAATCCACACACCTTCAAGTTTCCAAGGTTGAGAAATATGATATAACATTACTTGGTGACTCTTTTATACCCACCCCTCTACATATCAGCTCTTCCTTTTTCAGAGCCTTTTGAAGGTTCATGGCAATGATCTCAATCAAAACAGAAAAGAAAAAAAAGCTCCCCTTTGGCATAATTTTTTGAAGAGCTCTTGCATCTACTTCACTGCTGAATGGCCAGCACCTAGCAGCTGAAATGAAGGAGACTGAGACTGAGGGTGGGAAATCTCCCAAAACTAGGCTCTCCTTTCAGTGTGGCCAATTTACTACAGACAATCTTCAACTTATGACCCTTCGTAAATCATGAAGGTCGTAAACCAGATCATTATATTGACTGACCTGATTTTATGACCTTTCCCTGCAGGGGGTCATTAAGCTAACAGGGTGGTCATAAAGGGAATGTGTTTTTTAGCGAAACCATTATTTGCTATGGACTGTTTTTTGCAGGGAAAAAAAAAAAGGAAATGTTGGTTTTGGGCCAAAACATTTAATTGTGGTCAAGTGACCTGAGATGGTGCAAATGGCCATAAATACAGGCCGAGTGCCCAAAATGTGGTCATGTGAGCATGTGGGGAAGGCAACCATCCAAACTTCAGAACTGGATTGTAAGTAGTGGGTGGATCTGTCATAACTTCAAATGGTCTCCAGTTGTAAGTCGAAGACTACCTATCTCTATTTCAGAGGCGATAGGGTTTTTACACAACTTTGAGGTAGGAGGGGAAGTTTAAGAAGAAAAGTTGTAGATAGCCAAATTCCTCTTCAGGACTGAAAATCTGACATGCTTGGTTTTTTTTTAATCAGGTAGACTTCTCCAAGTCTCTTCCTTGCTTAGTTCCTCACCTTTGTTTCTTTGTGGAATTGAGCCCGGCTTTCCTCAGGGACAATGCTGTAGGGTATGAAAATGTCCAAATGATAGAGCTCAGGATGTCCCCGTAGTACAATACGGTCTTCTCCAAGGTCCAGCTCAAGATTTCTCACTGAGACCTATAGTAGTGGTGAAAGAAAAGAGAAAAACACACTCAAAAAAATGTAATCAGTCCCAGCACCTAGGCTAGATTGGAACAATAGGTGTTTCCCTGTAAACCCCATGTTATGGAATTACCATTTCAGGGAGGGAGATCTTTGCCACCAGACGATTGGGGTGACTGGTTGATGGCTCCGCGACTATGGTGAATTCAGGAGCTGCAGCAGAGCTGAGAAAAGAGCATAGCAGACTTAAATTAGATAAAGAGAGCTGTACCCAAGGCAGATTGATAACCACTGGCAAGTGCAGAATTTGAATGGCTTTTTGTGGGGCAAAACTGGATGGAAAATGAGGAGAGATGGAACAGGTTAGATAGCACATCTGCATTCCATACCATAACATTTTAGTGCTGGTCCCCTCATTGTGTACTAAGTGCAACTGGGGAAAAAGAAAATCTATAGGCTACGATCCAACAATTTAATCCAGTGTTTCTCAAAGTTGGCTTGAAGATGTGTGGACTTCAATTCCCATGGTTAGTTGGGGAATTCTGGGAGTTAAAGTCCACACAACCTCAATCTGCCAAGGTTAAGAAACACGGTTAAGTGACTCATGCCCATTTTACAACCTTCTTTGACATGGTTGTTAAGTGAATCACCTAAATCAAATCTGGCTTGTCCCACTGACTGCTTGTCAGAAGCTTGCTGGGAAGGTTGCAAAATGGCAATCACAAGACCCTGGGAGGCTGCAACTAGTGTAAATACATGCCAATTACCAAGCGTACAAATTTTGATCATGTGACTGAAAGTTTGAGAACTGGTCACACTTAATAATAGAATAATAGAATTGGAAGGGACCTTGGAGATCTAGTCCAATCCCCTGCATAAACAGGAGATCCTATATTATTCCAGACAAGTGGCTGTCTAGTCTCTTCTTAAAAGCCCCCAATGATGGAGCACCCACAACTTCTGAAGGCAAGCTGTTTCACTAGTTAATTGTTCTCACTTTTAGGAAATTTCTCCATAGTTCTAGATTGGTTTTCTCCTTGATTAGTTTCCATCTGTTGCTTCTTGTCTTGCCTTCTGTTGTTTGGAAAATAGATTGACCCCACCAAATATTGGAACACTACGTTACCCCTAGTCCTTCTTTTCAGTAGACTAGACAAACCCATTCCTGCAATTGTTCTTCATATGTTTTAGCCTCCAGTCCCCTAATCATCATCGTTGCTCTTTTCTGCACTTTTTCAGAGTCCCAACATCTTTTTTATAATATGATGATCTAACTGGATGCAGTATTCTAAGTGTAGCCTTACTAAGGCTTTACAACATGGTACTAATACTTCACATGATACTTTTTTCAGTGCCATTGTAATTTCAAACAGTCACTAAACAAATAGTTGTAAGTCAAGGGCAACCTACAAAAAGGCTAACAAAAGAAAGTCCTTCTGGGACTTTCATCTCCTTTTGCCAAACCATGCTGGGGCCCAAATTCCCACCTAATGGTTTTCTTAAATGTCAATGTCATTATGACTATTTTTGCCTAGTTCCAAACCTATCCTTTTGGACACATTATACAAAGACCCAATTTTCCAGAGAAGTCTGTAAGGCTGAGAAAGATGGAAAGAAAAACAGAAAGACCAGTAGCAAGGTAGGATAGAACATCCTGGACAATATCTATCTATCCATGTTGTCACTAGGAATCAATGTTGATATGATGGCACATAATGAATTCATTAATCATAAAATCTATTCTGCCCTTATCAAATATGTGGGCAAGCAATGATTCTGCTGTGCCAGTTTCCCCACTATCCAGAGTTGGCAAAACAACCAATTTTATTTGAGATGACATCGAAACCTGACCGTGAGTCTAACTAGACCCTAACAGGGTCAAAAGTCTTATTCCAGGTGGTCATATTAAATCCTCAATACATATAAACTTAATGTAAACCGCTTTAAACCTGATTGCAAAAGATTCAATATTTTTGTAACAGTGTTGTCAAAGCCTGGAATATCTTACCCAATTCAGTTGTCTCAGGTACTAACTTTCACAGTGTTAATTCGAACTTAACTTCTGTGGACCTCATTCCATATTTAAGGGATTCCTAAGGGGGCGTGTGTAAATGCTCTAACGTACCTGTCATCCCTGTCACATTTTAATTTTCTTATTTTCCTTGTTTTAATTTATAATTCTTGTTTGACGAATGAATGAACAAATGAATATGCTACCTAGAAACCTTGGAGATGACATTCAGAACAGCTAGAATTTTTTTGGGGAAAAGTTGTGTGTGGGAGATCTAACAACACAAAAAAGTGGTTTAGCTTAAGGGAGACCACCACCCACCCCCACTCAAAAAAACACACCTGCTCTGTATTTCCTGGATGATGGGCTTGGATTTAGTGCGGATATTCTGTTCTGATATGGAGCCCATAAACTTCCTGTTCTTCAGAATCCTCCAATCTGAGAAGGAATACAAGCAATTGTTAGTTAAAGAGGTAACAAAATGAAAGAACAAGAAGGCAGTGCTGCCAGAGTCCTCTTAAGATTGTTTGTATTCAGGGAACCACCCCACCTGCCAAACAAAGGCTCTCCTCACTACATTTCTTATTTTCTGTACCTTGATTGCTGATGTCCATCTTGTACTTCTCTGACAATCCTTCCATGGCTATGGTAAGGAAGAATTCTTTGAGAAATTGGTTGCTCTTGACATTGGCAGAGATAGGAGAGAAAATTGAGAAAGTTTAAGCCCCCTTTTCCCATGACTATGTTAAAAAAAATGGCTTGAAAATTGCTTTCCCCAGTAAAATCCTTTGTGTCTTGGGAGCACACTCAGATGTGAGTACTGTCAGTGCAAACCACCAGCATTTACATTGGGGAGGTCATACATAAAGCTTCCTGTTGAGCTGAAAAAGGCAACTGGATGCGCACAGGAAGGGAAGATCCCAAACCCCCATTAAATAAGACTCACCTCCATCTTATTAAAAAAGTTGGTGTTGATGGTGACATCGTAGGCTGTGCAACCATTACCACCTAAAAGGGCAAAAGAAACATTAAGCTGATTCCTAATAGGGACAATTCTTCCTTAGGTCCACAATGCACACAAAATGTGCATTGTTTCTAGTTGCTAGTTGCTCCTGAAGGGATACAATTACATGGTATTGTCTCCATGGAAAGGTCCCCATATAAATCCATTCCGTATGAAAAATAATAGAAAAAAGTTTGTTTTTTCAACACTATTTCCTCTTCAGTCCGGATGGTTAGAAATGTGTATATTGTATTTGTATTCTGTTGTACATTTTCTGCAGAGTATAGGATAGATTCAGAGTAATCCACACAACAGCCAAAAGTAGGCAACAATGCTGTTGTTCTCTATGATTTCCAATTGCACCTCTGTGAAGTGTCTGAACTGGAAAGTCTGAGAGCAACTTAGAAGTAATTCTGAATGACTTCTACTATCTGTTAGTGCCATCCTCACCTTTGCCAAAAATTGTTTTGTTGCTTCTCAGGCTCAGCCCAGCCAGATGTTATGGCCTGAGGAGCAATAGGGCATTCAATTAAGCAGATGGAAAACAACTATAATATGGCTTACATTTACATCCACCTGGCCCACTGATGTGGGAAGAGAGAGTTTATTACAGGTCCCATCGATTAGGGATGCACATCTGGTGGAACCATGAAAAACGGCCTTCTCAGTGATGGTCCCTTCTGTATAGAACATCTTTCTCCCTAAGATATAGTTGGCCACCACCCTATTGCTGTTCTGAAAGGCCCCAAAACATTATTTTGTCAGTGGATCTAGAGAATACTAAGGGAGATGGAGCCGATCAAGTGGCTATTTTGATTGTGTTGATGCTGCTATGGGGAGTGAAGTGCTTTTTTATGGAGTTTTTCTTATGTGGCGGGTTTTTAAATAGCACTAGCAATAGTACTTAGACTTATAAGCTGCTTCATAGTGCTTTACAGAACTTTCTAAGTGATTTAGAGAGTCAGCACATTGCAACAATATGGGTTCCCATTTGGACCACGAAAGGAAGGCCGAGTTGACCTTGAGCAACTCAAACTCCCAGCAGTGTGCAGAATCAGCTGCAATACTGCATTGTAACTACTGCACCATATGGCTCCTGCTTTACAAATGTTATAGACACCTGGAGTCACCTATATGTGAATTGGGCAGCTACTGCATATAAATTTGTTTAATAATAAGACATTTCCTAGTTTGTACCATTCATCTCAGCACCAATCAATTTTCTAATGAGCTGACAACTCACTCTTGTCCACTTCTGCATGCGGCTCCCCCAGACTCATAGGGACCCGGAAAGTGGAGGCATTCTCTGACTCAATGAGGCAAGCCAGCTCTTCGTTGGTTAAGTCGGGTGGCGAAGGGATGTGTGGGGACCTGCAAATATTGACAAAAATCTTCTCACCAGAACTCGTGTGGGTTTTAAGGCAGAATCCTAGGCAGAGAAAAAAATGGTGCAAAATGAAGATGTCACACATGCAGCAAAAACTAAAAGTGATAATATCTTTCTTGTGATTTGGCAGACCAAACTTCTTCCTATCTTATTGCAGGATTCAAATATGCAGCAATGTGATACAAGTGGAAATTGAATCCATCCACCGCCAACTATTTCTACTGAAATAAAGCAAGGAAAGCTTCTTTGTGTACAAATTCAGAATGTCTAGGATCAGAAGAAGAAAAAAAGATCCTAATACTAATTTTTTTTCTTAGTCCAGTCTAGGAATATCATGTAAAGTTATTTTTTAACAGTCTTTTTCTAAAAATCAGTGTAAGATATAAACATAGGTAGTCCTTGACTTACGACTGGTCATGTTTGAAGGTACAAGGGACCTTCCCAGAACTAATGACAGTCCTTTTTCAAAGTTACAATGGTTGCACGTTCCCCATGGTCACATGATCGCATTTTGGGCGCTTGGCTATCAGCTCATTTTAATGTCCCTTTGCAGCGTCCTGCAGCCACGTGACAGCAATTTTCTATGTTTTTGTTTCCCCATTGGGAAAAATAGATTCACATAAAGACCATAGCATTTAACAACTGGTGCATAACTGTAAAAAAGAGAGAGAGAGAGATCCATTCACATGATGCCCCAATTTACAAACATAATTCTGGGCTTAATTATAGTGGCAAGTCAAGGACTACCTTATCATTCTCTTATTCATAACTTTTTCCCTTTCCCTGTTCCCTTTCAGATCATAACATCCCCTATTATCTCACATTCTTCTTGGAAATCAAAAAAGAAAGGATGGAGAAACAAGCAAGAGAAAGAAGCAAATTGTTGGGGAAATGAGCAAATGTGTGCCATAGAATAGGAAAGGTAAAGTGTTTCTCATTTCCATGTAGATCTGAGAAATCTTCTCTGATTTCTTTTACATTCCTTTTATTTCCTTTGGCATGCCACCTTTTTCTGCAGTAATTTTTTTTTTTACCTGGAAGGGGACGGATGGGCTTGGATTCCGTTGGAGAAGGCATGGAGCCCTGGATATTCTGGGCTGCCTAGGGAGAGAATGGTTGGATGTGTTTATGAATCCTGCATGTCTCAACCTGTCAGCAACCACACTCATTTATATTTTTTCCTTTTTCTGATGGCTAAAAGAAGCCTATTGGGGGACCTATTGGGTCCCTCAAACCTACTGAGGGGCAGTTCTACTCTGGGGGTGGTTGCTAGATTGACAGCAGACCTCAGCTCCCCCCTCACTCGTTGCTCTCCATTCGCCCATCTTTTTTCTTTACAAGTCATATCAATGTATTTTCTTTATTTTTTCTTCATATGCTTTATTGTTCCATTACTTTACTATTGTTTTGTTTAAACTTCCTTTTGATTTCTTTGTTTTTGTTTATAGTTGTGAGCTGCCTAGAGTAGCCCCATGGCAAGATAGAGGGATAGTAATATTAATATTAATAATAATAATAATAACCCATATCAACCATCAGCGCCAGTCAATAATATTTGTGATACATTTTTAAATGTTCAGTTGACTGAGTTTCATGTTTAATAAATAAAAGTTGTTTATTATTATTATTATTATTATTATTATTATTATTATTATTATTATTATTCACTTCACCTGCAAGGGCGAGTTGTTGGGAAAAAGGATGAAAAGAGAACAAAACCACTTTAACTTGGAATTTTGGAAAGTGTAGATCAACACTTTTGGTACATGCCATGTGTAGAAAAGCTGCAATTGTGCATCATTATTAAACAAGCACAGTAATTGGACAGTGGATAAGGAAGAAGATAACACGCAAAGGCTCTAATTCCAATTATAGTGGAGTTCCAGACTTCTCCCAACATTACCAACTATTTGTAAAACTTCATATATATGCTAAATTGATATCAACACCACCTAGGGCAGAGTTCCACAATCTTTTTGGCTTTGTGGACCAGCGAGGGGGAGAGGGGATTATTTCGCATGAGCAGCAGAGAAGCGTGTGCATACAGCTCCGTTTGCACGAGCGATGGCATGCACGCCTGCAGCTTGCGCAAGTGGGGATGCACGTGCACGCACCCGCCACTTCCACAGCCCTGTTTTGAATATCTTAAGAGCTGGAAGTGGACCGTGGCCGGGGGTTGAGGACTCCTGATCTAGGGTAAAGAAAATTACAATAAACTACAATAATTACAACATACAGCAATTACTACTGAGAAAAATAACCGTCATAAAAAATTTAATTAGGAATGACATTTGAGCACATTTTCAGCTCCTTCATAAAAATGCAGCGTCTTGTTCATGACAGATATCTGTCTATTATCTCCATTTCACTAAAAGGTTTAAATTGCTTTTATGAAAACCAACTGCCTCTAGAATCAGAGAAACAACATACCTTTGTAGGATCATGATGACTTTACTACTGTGTATCTGAAATTGCCTATAGATGCATAATTTAATTTAAAATCATAGTTCTGTCAAATTGCTGACAGCAATAGTCTTGAACAAGAAATGAAGATGTCCTTTGAAAAACTGTTTCTGACAAGAGCCACGTAGCCTTATCTATACCTGTTGAGATGGTTCAGAGGTAGCCCATCCCCCACCCCCATTGGATGCCCATCAAAAAAAGTGGATTGTTGCAATATTTATGCCCCCAAGACCACCAATTGTTTCCATAACCACTTTTTGGAGCTCCTAATCTCCCCTGATTTAAATTGTTGAAAAATGATGGTATGCTCCTCCTTTGAAGGGGGGGGGGAACTAAAAAATGTCATGTGAATTATAAAATAAGAACATCAAAGCTAAAAAGCCAAGGGCCTCCTAAACTCCCTTCAATGTACCATGGACACCCACACTGCAGCCTTCAGCCCACCCAAAGACATCACATTAAAAAGTCAATATTTCAATTTAATGTGACAAGAGGGGAGAAATAACTGAATAGTTAAAGTGGGAGTATATTAAATTGGATGGATTTAATTTACAGAAATATTAAATGTTTTATAAAAACTGGATCAGGCTCTCCTTAGCCTGAATTTCTACTGTAACCTCATTCTGCTCTCTTATCGCAGGAGTCCTGCTTCTGTTGCAAAACAACCCAACATTTTTCTTAAATATGAGAGAAACTGTCCCCAACATACCTGAAGTAAAAGACGACTGAATTCCTCCTCCTCTTGTCCTCCTTGTAATTCGGCCGATAATAGCGACTTATCTGTAACTGATGCCATGCTGAAACCGTTGGTCCCAGAAGAGTCTATAAAATGAAGGGAGGTTTAAAAACCGAAATTTAGAAAAAAAGTGACAAACAAACTATAAATCAAAATTTTCCTATCTTGGACCTGTCAAGACGTTTTGGACTATTATAACCATAGTACAGGTTTACAACCACAATTGAGCCCAAAATTTATGTAGCTTAGTGAAAGAGTTAAGTGAGTTTTGCTTCATTTTATGACTATTCTTACCACAATTGTTAAGTGAACTGTTGCAGTTAAGTTAATAATATGGTTAAGTGAATCTGACTTTCCCATTGACTTTGCTTGTCAGAAGATTGCAAAGGGTGATAACATGACCCTGGGATACTGTAACCGTCATAAAGATGAGTCAGTTGCCAAGCATCTGAATTTTGATCACATGATCATGCAGATGCTGCAACAGTTGCAAGTGTGAAAAACAGTCATAAATCATTTTTCCAGTGACCTTGTAATTTTGGACAGTCACTGTTGTAAGTCGAGGACCACCTATGGTAGAAAATTAGGGGTGTTGTTATTCAATAGGCCACTCTGAAGTTAGGCAAAACTTCATTGAGATGGGTCAGGAAGAAAATTGCCTAAAAGACAGAGGCAGATTTTTTAAATTGATTACAGTGCTTATGCATGCTCCTCAAATCTTTGAAAGATGCAGCGAGGAAATTTTATTAGGATGGACTCCCAAGAAAAAGTCATTGCTTATCCATCCTAAGAGGCCTAGAACGTAGCCGCCATGTTTCCTGCATGGAATGGCAGCAGAGTTACAAGGCACAGCCATTTTAATAGAATGGTTAAGGTATCAGGCTAGAAGCGCAAGGATGGTGAGTTCTAATCTTGCCTTGGGCACGAAGCCAGATGGGTAATGTTGGACCAGTCACTTTCTCTCAGCTCTAGGAAGGAAGCAATGGCAAACCACTCTTGTAAAACTTCGCCAAGAAAGTTTAGAGATCCTTGAATAATAATAGAAGAATAAATGATATATTTTTGTTTTTAAAATAGCCCAAGGCCCTTTTTTATTTTTGCTACTGAAGACCAATGCAGCACCTCATAGAAAAGTTACCAAAATGTTAAAACTGCAATTCTAGTCCATAAAAAAAAATCACAGAAGACCCAGGCATATCCAACTGATACATTCTTTGTACCACCCAAACCAGCCTCCAACTGATAGCAATAGCAGACTTATATATTACTTCATAGTACTTTACAGCACTATGTCAATATGTTGATATTTGTAAACCACTTAGAGAATGCTTTACAGCACTCTCTAAGCGATTTACAAATGTCAACATATTTTCTCCAACAATCTAGGTCCTCATTTTACCAATCTTGGAAGGATGGAAGGCTGAGTCAACCTTGAGCCGGTCAGGATCGAATTCCTGGCAGTGGGCAGAGTCAGTGTGCAATGCTGCTTTCTAACCACTTGCGCCATCATACCACCACAAATCTTCTGATCCTATTGGCCTTCCTTTTTAACTCTGTTATTTATGGCAGTAGTTCTCTATCATTGTGGCCCCCCAGCGGACCGCTGGGGGGGCCGCAATGTCAACCCAGGGGGCCTGTGAAAGCTTGAAGAAATGTTATGATTTAAATTTCGAGTTAAGTCTTGGGGATCTGTGGCAATAGTCCGTGTCCACAAAAGATATTTCAAGGAGGTCCGTAGTGAAGAAAAGGTTGAGAACTACTGATTTATGGCATCAACTTCTCCCTTCCCTCCAAAAAAAAAAAAAAAACCCCAGCTTTTTGTCTCAGTCTCACAATATCTTTGCAGCGCTGACTACAACAAGCAACTAGTCAATTATTACCTAGCAACCTAAATAAATAGAAGAAAAACTCTATTACAATCTGGCTACACTCTGATAGCTATTTGAAATTTCTTCCTTTTGCTCCTACCTCTGTTACTAAAAGCTCCATTCCCTTGACCCCCAACTGAGACTGAAACAGCAAAATCCTGCAACCCATGGACCCATGCAGTCCAAATCTGTCATCGCCTCTTAAAAACCTCATTAAGCTTAATGCAATTGACTTCTTATGGAAATGAATACAGGTAGGTCTCGATTAGTGCACTTAATAAATCCCCCAAAATGGCTGCATTATTCGAATGTACACTATGCAAATGATATTTGTCTGAAAAATAGGACAATTTCTTTAAGATTCTCATTGATCCCGAAATAATGTTAAAACAGGTATGAAAATAGAGCCTGTTTGGTCTAGTGGTTAGTGTTGGCCTAGAGAAGCTGGAGTTCTAGATCTCCCTCAGGCATGAAAACTGCCTGATAACTTTAGGCCAATCCCTCTCTCAGCCCAATCCACCTTGCAGGGTTGTTGTTATAGAGAAAATAAGGGGAAGGAGGAATATTAGGTATCAAGACAGAATGATTTTTTTTTTAAAAAAATTACATTCATAAGCTCCCACCCAAGTGGTTTTCTAGGACACTTTTATCTTTTTACTACTATATTCGCAGTACCCCTAAGTGCTATTGTTAATGTTGGCAGACAGCAAACATGACCTGGTATTATTTTATATATATATATATATATATATATATATATATATATATATATATATTATATATATATATATATGGAAAAATATGATTAAAAAAACTACAGATGAAATTAGAAAAAAAGAAAAAGATATGAAAAGATCAGAGAAAAAGTGACAAACAGTAAAAGTCAAGAGTAGGAAAGAAAAAAGAAAAATATCTAAAGAAGCGACTTCTGATTTTTTTTATGGTGGTTACAAACATAATTATCATCAGTTTTGCCTTTCCAAATTATATATTATCAGTTCAATGTGTCCATTTTTCTCAAAAAGTCCACATAAAGTCCACAAAAAAGTCCTTTTATAAAAAGTGTGACCCCGTATCAACATATAAATCACATTACTGTCAAATTTTGCACTATTCGAACTCACACTAATCAAGACCTACTTGTACAGTTTACACACCCTACATGACTGTTAGGTGAACGACACACACTTGTAATTTTGTCATTTTGAAATTGCTACCTCTCAGTAAAACCCTGCTTTCCAGCCCTCATACAACGGAGAATCAATCCATGGCTCCATTCTCTATAATCTTTGCTGTATTCTTTACAGAAATGGGATAATGAAAAAGAATCCCAATCGAGAACAGCAAAAAAAAAACGTTTTAAAAATTCTCCTGGGCTTCACTTTTTTACTCACAGGCTGTAGAAAATGTGCTGTAGAGATAAAGCAGTTTCCTTTGCTTGTGGGGTTAATTAAACTGAAACACGCTCACTCGCACCTAGGCACGGGGCTTTGTGCAACGAACTCCACCCTCTGGGTTCACTGAGAGCCGGGACGGAAAGATGCCCCGCCCAACTTGGAGAAACTCCCCGCTCGTTACGTTACGTTTCATTCAGCCGGAAGGTGCCCAAGATAAGCATAGACTTACAAAATAGAGAAGTGATTCATACCGACAATGTCAAGACAAAATTTCTTGATATAGAAGGGATTCATAATTTCTAGGTCTATGTTCATCTGGCATTGCTTTGAGCCTGGATTTTATCCCAATATCTGATAGCCCCACCTCCATATTACGTGACCAGAGCAGCATTTTAAAGCACTATTTATTTAGGAAACGATTTAGCTAATTATAGTATAAAGCACTGTTATGTATCGTCTATAGTGTATAGTTTGCCAGTTGAAGTTCTCATTCCGGTCCTCTATTGGAGCGGGGAAAATGCTCTCTCCTAATTGGTTGTTTGGCTGATCAGTTACATATAAAAGGAGCTGTGTCAGCGAGGGAGACAGTTTTACCTACCAGGCTTTATTCAATATTATTGAATAAAGAACTGTTAGAAATCACTCCGGCCTGGCTTCCATTCTTCGTCCAGAACGTAACAAGCAGTGTTTTTCAATTCTGACAACTTTTAAGAAGTCTAGACTTCAACCAGCAGAATTCCCCAGCATGTTTCAACTGTTGGCTGGGGAATTCTGGGAGTTGAAGTCCATCTTCAAGTTGCCAACACACTGGTATAAAAGATTAACTAGGAGGTGGATGGATGTTTCAATATGCAGAACATACTTAGGCTGTATACACTGTTGCAGACTCGCTGTGCCCTTAAGACCCTACTGTTTCGCCAGGCAGGGCTAACTATGTAATTATTTTAAATTGGGAGTTTTAAATTGGGGGTTTTAATCCGGGCCAAAATTGTGTAATATTTTTAATAATTTTAAATTTTGATATTTGTATATTTTTTGTTTTAATAGGCTGTACACCGCCCCGAGTCCTTCAGGAGAGGGGTGGTATAGAAATAAAATTATTATTATTATTATTATTATTATTATTATTATTATTATTATTATTATTATTATTATATTGTTTTCTCTGGTTGATCGGTTAGTGACCACATAGATGGATTTTCTTCATGATGATCTGTCCCTAAACTGGGCCTTTAGGACTTCAAATCAGTGGTGAAATGTAAAAATTTTTACTACCATAAAGCGTGGCTTGGTGGGGGGGTTAATGTGACTGGGTGGGCGTAGCCAACTTTAGAGGTTGCAGAAAAAAATGATTTTAAAAGTAAAAACAAAGCCTCTGATGGTCGCGGGGCTCAGCTGGGCATGGGGGAGGGAACCGCAGGGATTTTTGCTACTGGTTCTCCGAACCACCCGCCACCTTCGCTACCGGATCGGGCAATCCAGTCCGAACTGGGAGCATTTCACCCCTGCTTCAAATGGTATTCTCATAATCCTGTCCTCAACTTTGAACCGAACCTGGCAGCAGCCATTTTTCTGTTGCTCATTTTTCTGTTCTTCAGTTGCCACACATGGGTGGGGGGGGGAGGTTGAAATGCCTTTCTAGACACAACAGACAGCTTTCTCATGAAAACCAAAGTCATCTCTACCAGCAACAGATAAGGATGGGGGAAGGAGTGCCTGGAGAGCCTGTCAATTAACCCAATTGGCAAATGTGACCTGAGACACTTGGGGGAATGGGGTTATTTCCTATTTTAATTATACTAAGCTGTGGGAAAGATTTAGAGTTGGTTTTTCCTTTGAAGCTGTGCCATATGATGTACTCAATAAAGAAGACCTTTGGGAAAGACCTTGGCCTCAGAGTTCTGATTTGCTTGGGTTCATTAGTCCGAACCTTGACACCTATTAACATTTACATTGCTGGTTATCCTCTTCTCTTTCTATCCAGTTTCCCCAGGATTGGATTCTTCTTCAGGGAGTGAAGTCTGCATAATGTGGCCAAAACAGTATAATTTGAATTTGTCCAAGTGTGTAGCAGCGAACTATATGTCTCACATGGAGTGTTGTTGCACATTACTTCCTCTGCTCCCTTCAGGGAACTTCTGAGATGAAGGTAATATAATAATGATGATTAATAGTGATGATTTGCAATCACCCTCTAGGTGAGGTTTTTAAGTAGTGGATTATTAAATAGCTTTTCATCATTCAAAAATGTAACATTCAGTTCTTTTACATACCAAAGAAGACTATGTTAGACTGAAATGCTAGATTCCTGCATTCTTTTAGTTATCTCCTATTCCTAGTCCATTAGCAAGTGAAAAGGGTGTGTGTGAATAGTGTCAAAATTGTCCTGGAAGATTAAATTCTACTTTGAAAATATTTTTGCCGGCGGTGTACGTTTGTTTTTGTTTGGAGCATATCATTTTGAAAAATAACCAAGCTATCTAGCATCAATTTGAGGGGGAAAGGGGCGCGCTGCTGCTCTATGCTACGGTCTCACTGATTGTAGTCAGTACGTTCTCTCTCTATAGTCCGCATGTTCCGCCCTCTAGCCTTACGTCTCGACTCCTCTCTGCAAGTAGCTGAACTCTATGGCAGTTGGGAGGTCGGAAGTGACTCTCTATTAAAGCGAAGGGGATGCTGTTCAGTTGGGAGGTTGCTGCTTTTTGCTATCAGGAACCGAGCAATCCAGACTGGAGTCAATGGCCGGCTTCTCAGCGACGGAAAGCAGCTGCGGGACCCCTTCAGTGTACGATCTCTACAGATCCATGGAGTATGGGCCGGTCCCGGAGGCGCTTGGGGCAGCCCAGGTAAGGGACTGTAAGGGATCCCCTCTCACGTCTGATCTTCCCCCCTCCCGGCGGAGAGCGCAGGATCTGGTAGGCGTAAGAGGAACGCGATCTGTGGGCTCCGAAGGAAAGTAATTTGGATTCCCGCGTCGCGCTAAACCACAAAGCTGTAGGAGCTCAGCGCGAAGGAAATAACTTACTCAACAAGCGTCATTAAGCCATCGTGGTTTGCAGCTGCTGGGAACCGAGCTTTGCAAAGGAGAGGTTCCAAAACGAGCCCGGGGAGACGTTGATCTATCCTGATTCCTCCCCCCCAAAACACAGTCCCCAAGAGGCACTTTTTTTGACCCCACATTTTAGCTTTTTTCTATCCCCAATCCCGCCGCCTCCCACTCGCCTCTGTCCCTGACCTTCGCTCCCTCTACAGCAGCAAGCTTCGCTGGCTGAACTCCCGGTCCTGCTCGGATACGGCGGATTTCACTGATAATCCAGGTTCAGGACGTGTCACTTCCGCGTGTATTCGTTATTTAGGTTATTTTGGCGCTTCTAAAGACGAAGCACTATTGGTGGACGCTCGAGCGGGCGTTGCACCTCTCTTTATACGATCGGCAGCGCTTCTGCCCCGGTTCCTTCCACTAGTTTTAATTGACAAACGTAGCCTTTTCCTTAGCCAAGGAAATCTGGCTAAGGAAATCTCATCTTTGCTGAGAAAATCAAAATGAAGAGTTTTAGCTCAAGCTTTAGGACCCGTAGTAACTTCCATATTGTGTTCAGTATTTTGCTTTTTCCTGCATCGGAGTAAGTCGGCTGTGTTTTTGGAAACTTCTCTCTGGCAGGGTTGAAACCGCGCTCTAAAATCAGCTTTAGCCCTAAACGTGGGGTTTGAATGATACATGAATATAGTACCAGCCCATAAGTGGGAGACTATTCAGTGGATAGTAATCGTAAGTCTTTGACTCAGCTTCCTCCGAATCCGAAAAGTTTGGGTACCTGAACAAACCAAACTTCAACGAAGGAGGATGAGCGTGTCTGACAAACAGCCCGTGTGCCATCTGGAGCAATTGAGCGGCAGGGGGTGGGGTGGGGGTTGGAGGAGTGTGAAAGAAAACTTTCCTTGCGGAGTCCGTTATTCAATGTCATTCCCGCTTCGCCACCTCTGAAGTTTCAGACGAATTCGATCGACTCCGAATTTCCAATCGCTAATACGAGTTTGCTGGCGGTCCCTTTCGGTGTAGAAATCCGGAATAACTAGTGCGATTCAGTCCCAGGTTAACAACGCCTTCGCCACTTCTCCTTAAAACAAAACCGGATTAGATGCAGCTGGGGAGAGGGGGAACCTTCAGACGCCGTGCAAAATCAGGAGTAGAAGAGAAAGCAGCCCAGAACGTGAGAACCGCTTTGATACCGGGGTTCCCAGGGAGGTAACAACTCTGCTGTCGCGGGGGTACAAAGCAAATTCGCCCCCCATCGCGCCGGCGCAGACGGCTCCAGAGTCCCGATTTAAATCAGGTTCATATGCATACCACGGGCTCGTTGGCCAATAGTTGCGCAGTAAGTCCCACCTCGGGTTACGTGCTACCGCGGAGGTACCCGCCTCGCTCGGTCTTCTGGGTTAGGGAGGGGGGGGGTACATCCCGGCATGCACCGGGATTGGATTTTTAATTAAACAGAGGTGGCAGATCGTTTCCCCCTCCCCCCACTTCATTTGATTTGATCCTTCTGCTCCTGCCACCCACCGACCCCGCTTCCACTCCCGCCCCGGGATGTCCTCTCCTTCCCCCTCTTCCTTCCTGGGCCCGAGGTCGGCGGATCGCCCTAAAGTGCCTCGAACTCGGGCGGCCACTTGGAGTCACCGGGAGACCCTGGATTTCCTCGCCTTGTGGGGCGAGGAATCCATCCAGGCGCAGCTCAACCGGTGCCACCGGAATGCCGACGTTTACCAGTGGATCTCCGAGCGCATGGCCGAGAAGGGCTACTTCCGCGACGAGGATCAATGCCGGACGAAAGGCAAAGACCTCAAGAAAAGTTACAAGCAAGCCAAGCTGCAAGACGGCGTCGCCCGCCAGCGCTGCCGCTTCTTTCACGAGCTCGACGCCATCCTGGGCGGCGGGGGAAGCAGCTCCCGGGGAGACGGCGCTCCGTGGTGCCAGGTGGTGGTCAAGGAGGAAAGCGATCCGGAGCTCGATCCCGATCCGCAGCCCCCGGAGGACGAATACGCTTGGACCCAGGCCTCCGTCACCGACAGCAGCGATCCGGAGCCGCCGGGCGAGCCTGCCGGCGCCTCCGCCTATTCATCGTCCTCTTCTCAAGCGGCTGCCGGGAGCGTGATCTATGCGGAGCCCTCGATCCTGCACCGTCAGGTGGTCGGTGGCGTGATCAAGGAAGAGAAGAGCCCCCCGCGGGAAGAAGCCGACCCCCGCGGAGGAGGAAGGGGAGCAGATGGGGCTTACCTCTACCCTGCTCCGGAAAACTCTCCAGGGGATGTCCCTGGCAGATCTAGGATGATGGAGGAGCCTCTGCTTCAGCAGGAGACCCCGGGACATCTGGGCGCTCCCTGGAGATCCGGGGTAAAGCGGAGAGGTGAGTAGAAAAGGGAGCAGTGAAATCCGGGGTAGGGGAGGAGAGGGAAATCGGCTTTATCCAGACATCAGAGAAGGAATGGACTTGGGGTCATCAATCCCTTCATCTCTGATCTCCTTACTTAGAAATAAAGTCCCCTTGAGTTCAGTGGAATTGATTCCCAGGGATGTGAGCTAAGAACTGGAACAATTTTGCCATCTGCTCAGATTCCTATCTCTCATTTCCAATAAGTGCCGGTTTGCAGGGTTTCCCAGTTAAAAGTTTCAGATATTAAGTGCCAGAGATAAGCAGGTGAATTGCTGTTTAAAAGCCTGATTGAACTGTTTCACCTTCACTTTTATCTCTGTAACTCTGGGAGGAGTCCTAGTGGACAATCATTTAAATATGAGCCAGTGTGCTGCAGCTGCCAAAAAAGCCAACATAATTCTAGACTGCATTAACCAAGGGATAGAATCAAGATCACGTGAAGTGTTAATACTGTAGCATTTTATAATGACTTGGTAAGGCCACACTTGGAATACTGCATCCAGTTTTGGTACGATGTAAAAAAGATGTGGAGACTCTAGAAAGAGTGCAGAGAAGAGCAACAAAGATGATTAGCGGACTGGAGGCTAAAACATATAAAGAATGGTAGCTGGATCTGGGTATGCCTAGTTTATGGAGAGGAAAGACTAGGGGTGACATAATAGCATTGTCCCAATATCTCAGGGGCTGCCACAAAGAAGAGGGAGTCAAGCTATTCTCCAAAGCAACTGAAGTCAGGACAAGAAGCAATGGGTGGAATGTCATCAAGGAGAGAAACAACCTAGAACTAAGGATAAGTTTCTTGACAATTGGAACAATTAATCAGTGGAACAACTAGCCTTCAGAAGTTGTGAATACTCCAACACTGGAGGTTTTTAAGAAGAGATTGGACAATTATTTGTCTGAATTGGTATACCTTTTGCAACCTTCTGACAAGCTAAGTCAATGGGGAAACTTGACTCATTAGTAACCATGTTACTAATTTAACAACTGCAGTGATTCACTTAACAAATGTGGCAAGAAAAGTTGTAAAAACTTGCTTAACAAATTTCTCGTTTAGCAACATAAAGTTTGGGCTCAATTATGGCTGTAAGTTGAGAACCTGTATTTAAATTCGCTGTGCTTTTCTTATTCCCTTTTTCCAACGATACTCCCTCTATTGTTTTTTTTTTGCCCCAAACATTTAATATTCACTGAATTACATGGGTTTTAGGGATACTGTTTTTATCTTTTGATGTTTCTACACTAGATTTCCTTATGTATGTTAATAACTCCCCTCTTGATTCTTTGAACCTCACTTTGTCTATATGAATGATGAAAGGACATGCTGCTTCATTGGTATATGTATGTCAGAGGCTGGTTCTCGTGTTTGGAGAGCTCCGGTGACATAGTTTTGGTCTTCATCTCTGCCATTTGAGTAATATCATCTCATTCCTCCCTGCCACCAGCTTTTTCCAGGTCACGGAATCTGCTGAGCACACGCGAGAAGTTGGCCCAGCTCCGGAACAGGAGGAAGAGACCTTGGGATGACAAATTTGATGAGTTGGTGCGGGATATCCGGACACATTTCAGAGAGAGAGAAAAGCTATTTCAAGGACTATGGGAAGAAGAGAAAGCTCAACGGGAGAAGGATCGGCAGCTTTGGGTAGCTGAGATGGCTTGGATTCGGCAAATGTGGACCAAGAGCCAGAAGGAGAAGGAAGCAGGAGGAGAAGACAAGGGGACGAATGGGCCTGGGCATGTAAAGGAAGAGAATCAAAATAAAGATGTCTGCAAAGACTCTGAAGAGGGATCTTATAAAGAGGGCAGGGTTCAGGAGCCCCTGCTGTTAAAGGTTTCCCATGCTTTACAGCAGCCCTTCATATCTCACTAGCTTAAATCTCTTCCTCTGGAGCATTTTTTTGGAGGTGGAGGGACTACTTATCCCACTTTTATTATTTTTATAAATAAGGCAGTGAACCTATATAATACTCTTTCTTCCTCCTA